GAGCTCAATCTCTTACCCTCGCCAGTGTTTGACGAACAGTTTCCTCAGGCAGCATAATTGCAGTTGTGATTTCCTCCACTTGCAGGAAGTGTCCCCTGAATCTTCATGTTCCCTTTTGTCTGTGATTGCTCACAAACCTGAGAGAAAAGTCGGTAAAATTGTAGTTACCCTCAGCCAGTGGAATGCCATGGAGGAGGGCAGAAGGAAGGATAAAGGAGACAGGTTTTGAAGTTAAAGGCTAATTGTATGGTAATCTCAGTGGATAAAAAATGACTCATTCTGTCTTGAAATACTTTGCCAGAAGTGAACCTCAAGGATGCACTGGACCTTATTCACTAGTGCCTTGTACCTGTTTTGGCTGAAGTCTGAACGACAACGTTACATATCTGTTCTGTCTGGATGTATAGGACCACTCACTCTTTGCAGCAATTTGTGTAGAAAAGGAATGCATAATCTAGGCTGTTACTAGGTTGTAATTCGAGTCTCATTTCCAGGAAGAACAAGAAACTTTGCAATGGCTGTTACACCGTTGCCCAAGTCTTCTTTAAAAATATATAAGAAGTTATGGTTTGATTGCTTAAGAGTTCACTCTTGCAATCCTGGTCTCATTCATACCCTGTTTATAAACTAGTACTACATTGCCCTTTTTTTCCTTCTGTTTTTTTGTCTTTTCTGCATTGAAGGTTTATTCATGCTGGCATTTCTCCTAGATGTAGTTTGTTCAAGGCACAAAACCTTTAGGTTATGTTTGAACAGGCCACTAAATGAGCTGTCCTGAGGCTTTAGATTTCTGATACAGATCACTGCCTAGGTAAGGGGTTGACATCAAGTGGAAAGAGCAGTAGCAATGTTTAAACTCCCTGGATTTTTCTTTTCTTTCTGATGAAGGAGATTTTCTTGGCTTGCAATTACATGGAGACTAAATTTGCAAAGCGCCTTTACATTCTTAGAGTGGTGTAAGAACCCAATGTTCATTATTGTTGAGTGTTGTGAACCTTTCCCTCTTCTGCCTGCTGCAGGATACTTTGAGACAATGTTTTGCTTCCTCAGTGTGATCACAGATTTGAGCAACCACTCCAGGCCCTGGCTGGGCTTTTTTCATGTGTCTTCTGTCCACCTCAGTTTCTTGCTTCTACCGATCAGGCTTCCCTGAGGCTTTTCTTGTCTTGAAAATAGTGTTAACTCATTAAATATTTTGAAAACTTTTTATTGTAGATATATCTATCAGGGTATGAAGATGGAAGTTTTATCCAATACTGCTGAATCAAGTTGTTCCAAGTAAAAAATTGACCTTTGACTCTTTTGTTAACTTCTCTTTCTAATATGTGTCACTGTGCTTGTCTTTTATATTAAATGTAGGGTGAAGACAAGAAAGTATCTGAAAAGACTCTTCATGCCCCTGTGTCACCTTCATCTGTACCTGACCATATGAAGTGCAACATTCTTAAAGCTCAAGTGGAAGCTGCCATTAGAGTAGGTGCCCAGGTAATCTGTGTTTAATATTTCCCCTTTCCAGTTTTGGCATAGTTTACGCCAGTTTTCCAAAATCACAGCATTCCTGAGGAAGCACCTTATTTTACGTCAAGCATCCACATTGACCTACCTTTCTCTAGTTGCTCTACAGTTTCCTCAGGTAACTCAAAATGACTGATGTGATGGAAGTAGGAAATTTGTCCTAACTGATGTGATTAGTATAACCGAGAGAGGCTGAAAAAATAGTAGAGAAGGCCCCAGGAAATCTCCATGTTTTGGTTTTGTCACTGTAGCTTTTACTGACTTTGCAGCTGAGAAGCAATAACCTCTGGAGTTTTCTGGGGCTACCCCCCACCCATGGAAACTGTGGTCAAGGGTGTTTTAAAGATAATATCTATGAATCCAGATGCAACTTTTATTTTTAGGGTCTTAGCTTTAAAATGTCTGAATGTGAAATGTTAGCTACTGTGTTTTTTTTTCTTACTTGTTCGTGTGCTTTTAACTAAATTTTAAGCTGCTTGGTCAGTGTTTACATCAGATACATCCTGTTTCAAAACCACCACAAGTCTTGTAATGATGTCATGCAACCGAAAACTACTGCTAGATGGCATGACTGTAAAAAGTTAATTTCCCAATCAGAGGTGAAAGTGAAACCTAAATATGTGATTCTTTTCAAGTCTAATTTGTGGACAAAAATAATGCCATTGGTGCCAAAAATAAAGACAAATACAATGATTTAGGAACAAAAGCAGAGGCAGAAAGATTGGTATGACTCTTATCCCAGGTTCCTGTGGTATCCTTGTGCATACTATTTGAATACAAATTATGTTGGTGTTTCCATCACTTTGTTTCTTTTCACAATAACATATCAGGTCAGCTTGCCCTGCAAAAGATTTTGTTAACAATCATCTTTGTATTTGTTGTTCCCTGGCAGATCTTTCATCTGAGAGCTAGATTGCATCTGGTCTAGCTAGACCTAAGAAAGTATCAAAATTTGGTTATTCTGACTGTCCTAGATTTCAAGAACAGAAACCATAAATCTGACAGCATGTAGGGGAAGGAGGTTGAGTTTTTTATTTGTTTTTGCTTAAAGCAGTTCTCTCACCTCTCTGAATTATGTGTTGTATCAGCTGTGTTTTAGGCAGCATGTTTCTTGTTTGATTGCCCTTGGGTTTGCCCTCTGTTTTTCCCATGTGTCTTTTCTACAGGATGTCATAGTATATTTCTGACATTTGTATTTTCTCCTGAATATGCTTAATGGTCATGTTTGACTGAATAGTTAAAGACTGGAAGCAGTGTGTGCTGCTGCATTCAGAATAGAGCATTACTAAGGCAAGATAGGAAATGTGCTTAACATATTCATCTCTCAATTCACCTGCCCTGCCTTTATTTTTTGCCCTGAGGCTTTCCAAGGGACGACATCCTGGGTTGCTTTTTCATGCATGCTATAACTGTATTCTTTAGCTGCTGCTATGTTGTAAATAAGTTTCAGAGCAAGCTGAGAACTCCTTTTTTCCTTCTTACCTGTGTTGTTTTGCAACAGGTCAGATTGGATTAAGTAGATGTCTGTAGGCTTGGCCTCAGTGAGAAAAGTCTTATGATTTCAGGGGAAGGAGGGGAAAGAAGACTGTTGCAGGTTAGCATGTATCATGCAAAAATAATGGCATACGGTTCAGTCTGAAATATCTGAAGCTCTGAGTGTTAACGAAGTATGGCTTAAGAGTTACAGACAGTAAATTAGGATGTCATCTTAATCTTGGAAATCCTTCTGCACTTGTTCTTCTGCACTTGAGCTCCCCTCCTGTCAAGTATGAAAGATTACCCTTCTCAGATTGATTGCAAAAATAAGTAGGCAGAGACCAGGCAATGGTCAGCCATTACAGTAAGAAGCTGTGGCTACAAAGCACTGGGAAGGGTAGGCAAAAAGTTCATGGTGAAGGAATGAGTAGAAATACACTGTCTGTTGCCTCCACTTGTGTGAGGTGCCAGACGGTGGAAGATCTGCTCACCATGGTGGCCGAGCTGAAAGATGAGGTGGAGAGACTGAGGGCCATCAGGGACTGTGAGCGGGAGATCGACTGGTGGAGTAACTCCCTGGCATGCCAGAGGGAAAGGCACCAGGGAGATACCTCACAATTGGGGGTGGACCCCCTGCCCTGTCAGGCAGAGGAGGGGGAACTGAGGGATGGGGAGGGTTGGGAGAGG